GAGCGCCGAGACGCAGCGCCAGCAGCAGAGTAAGAAGAGTGAGCCGCGCAGCCGGAGAGGAGGAGCCGCCGCCGAGCCGCTCAGCCCGCCCCCCCACGCCCGCCAGCGCCGCCGCCACTACTACCGCCACTGCCACAGCAATAGCCACAGCAGCAACAGCCACAGCCCGCCGTTGGCCGCGCGCCCCCACTCGCCATGGCGCTCAACGTTAATCGCAGCGTGTCCGACCAATTCTACCGCTACAAGATGCCACGACTTATAGCGAAGGTCGGTTTGGGGTGGGCTGGGTGTGTGGGTATAGACACGCTGGTGTGATGGGTGAAGTGAGACTCGAAGGCGAGACCCACCAGCATCGGTATCGGAATATTTATACTGGAGGAATCCGATGGGCTTAAAGCTCTTACAGATGTCCAGCATGTTACTGGAATGTAGAAGCGAGCGATATATTTGACCAATTGATATATGGATTTATGTTAATTGCAGCAGTACCAACATGATGATTTGGAGTTTATTAAAATTAGCTTTTTCAAACAACCCATGAATGTAATTGCCCAATGTCAGGCTAGCAATTCCAGCAGTGCCAGTTTGCTATCCTTGGCCCAGCACAAATCAACAACTAAAGATGGATCGAATACGGCTTTGACTGTCCACATAGAAAACCTTTTGGATATAACCTTCACCTGAAGTTGAGGAGAGAGCTAAACTTAGTGTTTGTTCAGTTGGCAGTTCTATATCTAGCAATTATACACAGGTGTGTATATATTATAATGTACCATGTGAATGTCAACCCAATTCACACTTTTGCACAAGTTCTGCTAAACAAAGCAACTAGTCAATGGTTCTGTTTGAGACCAGTCACTGGCTGCGTGTTGACTGGTAGTCTAATTTAGCCTATACCCTTCGTGCTCGAGTTTGCACACAATGTTGAATTCTTTGATATTACCTCTTATGGTTAAATGCGTAATTGGTACTCGTTTGCTAAGATGGTGGATTCCAATTGCGCATGTCTGCAGGACTTAGGTTTCACTGTTCTATCTCCAGGTCGAAGGAAAAGGAAATGGCATCAAGACAGTGGTTGTGAACATGGTTGATGTTGCCAAGGCTTTGAATCGGCCTCCAACATGTAAGTGGATCTGTGTAAACCGCACCGTGAATCTTGCACGCAGACATTTTCTTCCAACCGGAGTGGATCCGTTGTCCACCTGACAATAACTGTTCACCACTCACCCCTTCCCCATGTACGTGTCGCAGATCCAACCAAGTACTTCGGCTGCGAGCTGGGGGCACAGACCCAGTTTGACGCTAAGAACGAGCGCTACATAGTGAATGGCTCGCACGAGTCGAACCGCCTGCAGGACATGCTCGACGGATTCATCAAGAAGTTCGTCCTTTGCCAGAGTGTGAGAACCCTGAGACTGACTTGGTGAGTGGTTGTTGGGGAGGATTTGGAGGGGAATGTACGGGGGGGGGGGGGATGGCTGAGGAGGTTTGGGGATGTTCGTCACTTTACGGAGTGGAAAATAACGTTGACAATCTGACGGCAATCTTGAGTTGACACATGATCACGAAGAACAGATTAGATTGACCAATATCATTACAAAATGAGAGCAAGAACTGGCAAGCGGCTTTTAGGCTGCCTTGCTCAGACAGGCAAGTTGCTGTATGTTGTGCAACGAGAGCAATCGTGGAATTATTGTGGGAAGTGGTGGCGTGCGATTAGCTATTTACTCCAGCATTTTGGGTGGTGAAGGTGGCCAGTATAGTACGAACCACACCAGCCCCCCTTTGTTTGCTGTTCGAGCCTTTATATGTGCTTTCTCGCAACACTTGCCACAATTGCGTGTTCTTAAAGGAATATTTTGTTTTGTGCAACAGCATGTGAACCACAAGAAGCAAACCATCAGTCAATCCTGCAAGGCATGTGGCTATCGTGGCATGCTGGACACAAAACATAAGCTCTGCACCTTCATCCTCAAGAACCCGCCTGGTAAACTGGAACTGGATGTAGATTTTTGCATGGTCCATGCAGACACAACATTCTCTGGTTAACAAATGCTTCACATGAGGCTGCTGCATTGTTTACTGGCACTTAGATTGTAGAGCTATGTTGGTAATTTAATGTGGTCGTGTAAAAATTGGCTTCACGTTACTATAGGGAATGCAGTATAGTCTTGTTGATGCGGTAACATTCAGGTTTACAATCCCAAATTATATTGAATTCATAATCGGTCAAAATACAAGTGTCTTGGTTGTACAAAAGAGGAGTGGTTCTGGACAAAACAATCGCAGTGCAAGCTGAAAATGAGTTCTAGACGGCAGTGAATTATAGTTGGTATAGAGGCAAGTCTGACCTTGAACGGAGGGATGGATTTTCAGAAGTTTGACTTTGTGTAACGGTTTGTTGTGGAACAGAGATGAGCGAGAGCACGGCCAAGAAGGACAAGAAGGAAAGCAAGAAAGGAAAAGGCGAGAAGAATGGCTCGGTCTCGAGCGCTGCGGCGGGAGAACGCAAACCAGCGTGCCAACGGAGAGGACATCGATGTCCCTGAGGTGGTGAGTAGCGCCGTCAAGTTGGGCACTGGGGAGGGGGGGGTGGCGTTTTTGTGGATCACTGGCGTAAATTTCGATCTTTGCGACTTGCAGACGAAAAAGCCTCTTGCAAGTAATATCTATAGTGAAATGCACATGGTAGCATGATTTGCATTTCAAAGATTCAGTATGGAAATCATTTACAGTGAATTCAGTATTTTGGATTCTGTTTAAATGGAACGTTAGAAAATATCCCCCCAAGTCATGTTTAAAACATTTCATTTCTGTGACCTGAGGCAGGAAAGGGGGACCCAGATTAGTTTTATTTTTTTCTACATGACTTTTCCGAAAGAACCAAAGAATACAGATTAGTTGTGTTTGTGGTGGAACCATTGTTTTTTAAAGCCCCTGAGATGAAAACCGCTTGGCCAGCGCAATACCAGTCATGTAATGGTGCATACAATGGTAAAAACTACGCATCGTCAGGTCTAATTATGACCTAGCATTGTTGCCCCTCTCGATCAAACGTGAGCGAGCGCTCACAAAGAGATGGCTGATGACTCGCAAGCCAAAGGTTGGCTATTGTATGAATGGTTGTAATGAGGTGGGTCATGTGTAAAGTGTTAATTTGTACACGGAGGGTTGTGTGGTCAAACCAGGTCTTGCGAGGCATGGCGAGTGTGGGTTATTGGCACATGCTTGTTGTGTAGTGAGATGTGTAAGGTGTTTACGAGGGCTTCTTTAGAAAGGGCTGGTTTTCGGATGTATAGAGCGCGCTTGCTAGGTGGCAGGGGTGAGGTATTGGATCCTTGACTTGGACAGTGATGGTGGTGTCTTGTGCCATTGCCGCACACATCGAATAAAAAGCAAGGAACAAGTCCTTACTAACAACTATCATTTTTAATTGCTTGAAGGGGTTGCCCCCCCTACTTGAAAATTCTGGCTCCGCCATTGTCTTAACATGTTCTCATTTGGCAACATGTAATAAATGGGTCCTAGAAGGCTTGCTGGGCAAGGTGAATTGTAGGTGCCTTTTTACGAGGGCTGTGATCGGGGTGCATATTGTGTAGGTAGGATGGAGATTTGAGCGGAGATGGGGGTTGTATTATTAGGTCTCATTTGGGGCTGGAATGTATGCGGCTATAGCTAGGCTTGTTTATCAGGGCAGGGTGTGGGCGAGTCGTGAGCGCTGGTTAGGCGAGGTGAAAACAGGATTCTTAACGAGGCCTCATCCATTCAGGCTGGCACAGTCGATGACGACGACTGGTGCGATGACACGTCTGAGGAGGCGCAACGGCGCCGCATGGACGAGATGAGTGAGCACGCCAAGATTCTTACCATGACCGATGACCTGGAGAAGCCCCTGGAGGAGAGGGTCAACATTTTTTATGACTTTGTCAAGGTACCAGACATTGGCACGGGTGCCCTCTTCCACATTGCACTAACTGGATTCTTGCAACCTTCGATGAATGATGAGTTTTGTAATGGGAGATGGAGACTTAATTTCTAACTAATCCTGCTTGTTGGTGATAGAAAATCTTTCTTTGAATTCACGATTCCACTTGCTCGGTGGTGATGTTGTGGTATGTGCAGCACAAGCGCGATGAGGGCGTCCTAGAGGGTGCAGACAAGGAGCTGGTGGCCGAGGCAGAGCGGCTGGAGGTGCGCAACATGGCGCCACTCATTCTGTCAGAGCTGCTGCTCGATGAAAACATCCGCGATCAGCTCAAGAAGTACAAGCGCCACTTCCTGCGTGTACGTCCGCTGCACGTGGGAGCAAGGCATCGTTGCTTGGCCAGGCCAGCGCACCCAGCACACCCGACACTTGCAGGCCTTTGCACACATCTGTGCCCTCAAATGTTGTAGTTTATCTTTTTTGGGTTGATCGCGTGGCTTTGTCTTTGCAGTTTTGCCACCGCAACCTGAAGGCCCAGAAGTACCTTCTGGGCGGGTTTGAGTGCGTGGTGCGCGTCCACCGGGACCAGCTGTTGCCCAAGGTGGCGCACGTTCTCAAGGACATGTACGACTCGGACCTGTTGGAGGAGGAGGCCATCCTTGGCTGGCACGATAAGGTAAGGGTGGCACCGACTTTTGAATGACAGCTGTTGGAAAGGGCCCCAGATTCTGTTACGTTAGACCTGGTCTTCCTTATCAACTTTGGGTGTACAGTGCGCCGACTTTATATGTTTGGATATTACCCATTGTCAAACTATGGTGTCTGAGCGTCATGCTTAACGAGGTGCATGCACATTCGTGCAGGTTTCAAAGAAGTACGTGTCGAAAGAGCTGGCCAAGGACATCCGTACCAAGGCGGCCCCCTTTGTCAACTGGCTCAAAGAGGCTGAGGAGGAGTCTGAGGATGGCGAGGATGATGAAGACGACGATGACAAGGATGTGGAGGTTCGAGCAGCGCGTGCGCGTATAAATGGGTGTGGGGCTAATCCAACGACGTGTGTTAAGGGCCACACGAACCCTGCTTTCGAAAGTGGCTAAGTGTTTTTCCATCGCTTGGCCATTACTACGGCAGGGAGAGAAACAGGAGGATTTACCGTGTTTGTGGGACGTGATTCATTCTCACCAAACCTCGTGGCCTTCTTACAACTGTATTCAACATAATGTTCTGTGCGATTGACTAAACCACTTGTGTGCTCTTATTTGGTTCTTTCGGTAAAGTCACGTAGAATGAGAATAAAATAATAAATTGATAAAATAAAATAACACAATAATATTCTCACGACGTTTAGGCCACAACACAAGCGGCCTTCACTTGTATGCTGCATAGCATTGACTAGAGCTTAATGACTCCATATTTTCTCAGGTGGTGTACGACGAGAAGACCACCCACCTGAAGGTGGAAACCATCAAGAAGCCAGTGCAGGCGGAGGAGGAGGCAGATGTAGACATAGACGCTATCTGATACCCGCAGCGTGCGCAACCAGAACGGATCCCACACAGCGCAGTGGCAAAAGGCGCCACTGCGTGCGTGGTGCCCGCCAGCACGAGTCACGCCCACCCCACTTGCCTCTGCCCTCGCTGGTGCTGTTGTAGTCTAGAGCGCAGGCTCACAAGCTGCTGCGTACATTGCTTCCGCATGATGCCCGTACGGCATGACCCCCTGCTGCCTTGCAACGTGCGCGGCTATCTCGTGCCACCACACTCCGGATTCTGCATTCTCTCGTGCTACCAGGCCCCTTAACTCGCCCCCTTCCCTTCTCTCTCGCCTCTGCATCCATGGCTTACAACTGGTGGCATGGCTATTATTAGTTGAGTACTTGTGTGTTTTTGATAATCGTAAACGGTGTTGCTGATTGTAGTTAATGTACTTCTAGGTCGGTGATGGTATAAAAGAAGAAAGTGCTTTTTTTCTTTTATGAATGCTTCACAAATAAAATTTTGCCTGTTTGCGTTACTGAGTAAACTGAGCTGCTTGGCAATCTCTTCTGTCTGAATAAAAAATTGTGCTAATGAAATATAGTCTGTTCATTGAACAGTGTTCTGTCTGAGCTGCTATGCGTTTTCTGCACTGGTATTGTGCCACGTCAAAATTTTTGCCCCTATGAATTGATACTTGAGGTTTGAAAATGGACAACGATTTTGATATCGCCATGGTCCACGCTCAAGTTGCAGTCAATTCACAGTATAAAGAATCCTTGGTCAATCCCCTGCTGGGTGAGGCCAACCTCGGGGGGGGGGGGGGGGGGATTAAACTGCTGGTGTGGGTGGAAGAATCTTGCAGCTTTAACTCGCTCGAGCAATGGTTGGGAATTGAACGGAAGTTCGATTTCTGCTCTTTTCCAACAGTAAATGTATACACGAGTTAATCGGCAAGGAGAATGGTGGGGTAATGTGGGTACTTGTGATTACCAAACGGGGGTATAACCTGTGTGGGAGAAGACCAAAATTGTCAATTATGCTTTCCATGCCACCGAGTTGTGTACTATCTTGCTCGTTCTTTCGTGGGACCGAACCCACTGTGCTTGGGAAATGTGCACCTGGGCGACTGCAAACGATGCCACTGGGTGGCCTTGGTGGTCGTGGAAGCTGTACCATGTGCTTTGTTAAAATTTGCCCTAAAGACAACATACCTGGGAATAGAACCCTACCAATTCGAAATGTAGCCAAAGCCTCGCCTTGCTTCAAGTCGTGATACTCGAAACGGCACCTTTGTCAAAACCTTGCTAAAATGAGTGTTCACCGTTTGAATATTTCAACTGTGTTAAGTCGGATGGGAAAAGATCAAGGATGGTCCCATTTGCAAGAGTGACGTGGGCCCCCAAAATTACGAGCCAAAATTTAAAGTACAACGAAGCAAATGGAAATCGGGAGCAAAAACATTAAAAGGTCAATCTTTATTTGAAGCTTTCGTGACTAGGAATCCATACTCTGGTCACGGTAGAAATTCACGAACATTTTAATTTTTTATAGCGTAAGTTGGCTCGAGAAGCCTCTACGTTGATCGCAGATAAATTAAGTTGCAGAACCATGGGTGATGTGTGTACTGATGTAAACCGACAAGGACATGCGTGCCTGAGTCGAGTAGCCTGGTGTGCTAACGCTTGAAAAGCCGTGCGGCCCTCAGAGTAGGTAGATTGTGCACGGGCTTTTATGTGCTATTGCCTCGTTGATTTGAGCTCAAGATTATCTGGTACCGTAACCTCAATTTGCATACATCTCGCTCCATGCTAAGGTTTCAGTGGTATTGTGTCATCACCGATTCGGGTAAAGAATCGTTTCAACACCATCTTGGCGTGTCCTAGGCTGTCCGAGACGAGTATTGACGCTTAGTAAAAACGCGTTTCCATGAAGGTTATAGCGCTTTCGTGACATCGCTGGTGACATTTGAACGCGATGTCTAGTGGAGTGACGTATTGGTGGCATTCCTGCAGCGCGCCTGATGGCAATTGTGTTCCTTCACGTGTAACAAAGGCAGGTGCGAGAACTTGTCCTATTTTTGGCTGGCGTCTTTAAATAGCATTCCATGGTTGTAAAGAGACCATGCGCTCTATCACACAGGGAGTTGCAATGGTAACACTTGTACCTCGCAGCAAGAACCGCCTGGGTGTGACACCTGGCACGGGCGCTTTGTGTGTCCAGCGTTTACGTTTTCACCCGGTCTGTATGGGGTTTCCTCCCAGAGAAAATGCCATACAATAATACAATTGGTGTTGGCCAAACGTCCCGTTGCAGGACCCTCTTGAAAAGGTAATCAGACTCCTTGTGACCTTTGGGTAAATATATGCGCCTCGTCCGAGTGACTTGACTTGACACTTAACGAATAAATACAGTCGGCTGTTTATGATTCGTTAGGCCAACTGCTTGCACATTCTATGAATATGCTAACCTTTGGAATAATGTGACTAAATCACAAATACAAGTTAAATGACAATCTATTCTTGGACCTCGGGACAAGCTGTTACGCAGTGGCATGTGCATCATGCAGATGTTGATTCGCGTAAGTATTTACAGTGCCACATTCTCTGGGTAAGGTGCACGCCAGGCTTGTGCCTGGTGTCAATAAAGTTATGCAACTGTGGTCACACAAGTTTATTTTTTACTGAGTGAAGCCCACTGGAATAAGAAGCTCGCTTTCACGGGCGACTTGTTCGGCAGACGTCAACGCATTCCACAATTACAAATTTAAAAAAAAAACAGCCCTGCCCCCAACTGTTGCCTGAGATTATAGGTATTCAATTAGAGATTGCTGTAGGCAGAAGAGAAGACAGTTCTTGAGCCGAGATTTGAGCAGGGACTGGAAGTCGACAGCATGGACGGCTGGGAGTAAGGGAACTGCTGCCTGTTTGCAGGAGCAGGGGGGATAGACCGTACGGCCTCACACCAAGCGGAGATTGACTTAGCGTCTCCCATCCTAGCGGGACTGAATCGTGGGAGTCGGATCGCAGGATCGGAGGAGAATGGGTCAAGGCGAATGACGAATCGGCTGCAGGGAGGCGTAGGGTGCAGCGGTCATTGAACCAAGGGCACCTTGGTTCCAATGACCGTATTGTATTTGTGGCAGTGCGCTACGATTACTTTGGCAACACATTAAGCACGAGTTTCCCACCCCCGAAACCAGGGATTAAAATCGCGTCGCCTATCGCACTTTAAGGGTCTCGAGGTTCAAGAGACGCCAAAGGAAGACAACTGAATCTAGATTTGAACGAAGACAACATGACCGTAGCTTGGCGCCAGCGGCATGGGCAGCGGTTAGCGCGCTGCGCTACGAACCATGAACCCGAGCTCACGGTGCAACGCCAATGACGATCATCTGAAACCACTCCTGGCTTCCGCTAGGTCGACTCAGCTTCAAATAAAGTACCTGGTACGATGTGTAGGCAATGGCTACTAAGTGCTGGTCACCAACCGTGGAGGCCTTCATACGTGCCACTTGCTAACAACACTGGTCATACACGCTATCACACTCAGCCATACGCGCTAACACACCCAGCCACACGCGCTAACACACCCAGACACACGCGCTAACACACCCAGCCACACGCTAATACACCCAGCCACACGCGCTAACACACCCAGCCACACACGCGAACACACCCAGCCACACACGAACACACCCAGCCACACGCTATCACACCCAGCACCACACGCTAATACACCCTGCCACACACGCTAATAAACCCAGCCACACACGCTAACACACCCAGCACCACACGTTAATACACCAGCCACACGCGCTAACACACCCAGCCACACAACGCTAACACACCCAGCCACACACGCTATCACACCCAGCCACACACGCTAACACACCCAGCCATACGCTAACACACCCAGCCACACGCGCTAACACACCCAGCCACACACACTAACACACCCAGCCACACGCGCTAACACACCTAGCCACACACGCTAACACACCCAGCCATACACGCTAACACACCCAGCCACACACGATAACACACCCAGCTACACACGCTAACAGACCCAGCCACACGCTAACACACCCAGCCACACGCTAACACACTCAGCACCACACGCTAATACACCCAGCCACACATGCTAACACACCCAGCAACACACGATAATACACCGAGCCACACACCGACTGAATGTTACATGTGGAATTATATTCACATACAGTAAACTACACTCACGCACACATTCACTGATGTTCACACACATTGAGACATACAGTGAGGGAAAAAAGTAATTGATCCCCTGCTAATTTTGTACGTTTGCCCACTGACAAAGAAATGATCAATCTATAATTTTAATGGTAGGTTTATTTGAACAGCTGAGAGACAGAATAACAACAAAAACATCCAGAAAAACGCATGTCAAAAATGTTATAAATTGATTGGCATTTTAATGAGGAAAATAAGTAGTTGACCCCCTCTCAATCAGAAAGATTTCTGGCTCCCAGGTGTCTGAGATTAGGAGCACACTCTACAGAGAGTGCTCCTAATCTCAGCTTGTTACCTGTAGTAAAGACACCTGTCCACAGAAGCAATCATTCAATCAGATTCCAAACTCTCCACCATGGCCAAGACCAAAGAGCTCTCCAAGGATTTCAGGGACAAGATTATAGACCTACACAAGGCTGGAATGGGCTACAAGACCATTGCCAAGCAGCTTGGTGAGAAGG